CCTCACTGGCCTGGAGACCTTGGGCCAGGAGAGATCTGGAAGGAATTGTTCTTGGACTGGCTGAGGAGCTGAGGGTCACTCAAACCTGAGAATGTTTGAAAGGTGAAATCGCCCACCTGCTGTAGGAGGGCACCCAGTGTTCTTGCTGGACAGTTTCTGGGAGGAAACAGTTTCCCCTGACTTTGCTCAGCCTGGATCAAGGGACTGAGATTGGTGATTCTTACTCATACTGAAAAGCAGAGTCTGAGGCCCTGCTGATCTCTACTTTTTCTCTCCCCAAGTCCGGAGCCAGGCCAGAGGCTTTGTAAGCGTCACTGAGTCCACATGTTCTGGAGGGGTCAGCGGTGGAGGCCTTAAAAATAAAAAGCTGGCTGGGAGCGGTGGCTCACGCCTGTAATCCCCCCACTTTGGGAGGCCAAGGCAGGTGGATCACGAGGTCAGGAGATCGAGACCATCCTGGCTAACATGTTGAAAGCACGTCTGTACCAAAGCTAGTTGGGCATGGTGGCGGGTGCCTGTAGTCCCAGCTACTTGGGAGGCTGAGGCAGGAGAATGGCGTGAACCCAGGAGGCGGAGCTTGCAGTGAGCGGAGATTGCACCACAGCATTTCAGCTGGAAAGAAAGAGCAAGATTCAAAAAAAAAAAAAAAAAAAACAAAAAACTGTTGGGACGAGAACATGGAAAGTCATAACCAGATTTTTCAGTAAGAATTTAAAACTGTAAAGTATCTTGCTGTAGGAAGTTGTTATGAAAATTAATCAAGTATGCTTGTATGGAACAAGACCGTATGATTTAGTGTGCATTCGAGAAATGACTGTTGTTGTTGTTTTTGAGAACGCCAGGCTAAAATTCTGGGGCAAAAAAAAAAAGAAGAGCTAAATCAATGCTCTTTGGCTTCTTAACCCTTAACCTCAGAAAGCTCCACTTTTATCATCTATAACATGAAATTAATGATACCTTGTCAGTTGGTTGAAGTTTCCAAGGCATTCAAGGCTATATTCATTAGCCTTATTTTAGTAAATATTTTAACAGCTGGCCAGATTTGTTGGGCTATGTAATCCAGAGCATGTAGTGAAGAAGAATTGTTTTGTCCATTGACGAAATACATACGCAACTGCAAGAGGAAAAGACTTTCATGTCGACAATGGATAAAGGTGTCAGCTGGAGGTGGGATGCTGGCTGCTTCTCTTCCTACATAAATGACAGAGAATGCTGTGAAGAATAGTATTGCCTTTTAATGGGCTCTAGTACTTGCATTGCTGTGCTCTCCATTTGATATTAGGAAGAAAATACTTCTAAAAGTTGTGCAAAAGCTGTGCAAATGACTGTCAGGACAAACCAGCCCCATGTTTTACTAAGGTGCCTTTCACGTTTGTCGGGCACAGAACAGCAGCAGTGTGGGTAGAGAGCTATCTCTTTACAGTTCTGTCTCTCAGACTGCCTACCCAGTCTTACCCTGCCAAACTGCTTACTTCTGATATAACGGGGTATTCCCTCTTCTGCATTAGAACCCGTAGGAGACTATAGGCTCTTTTAAGGGACTTTAAAAAATGCTATGAGTTAAGGATCCTATGAGGCTAATGAACTATTTTAGAACCCATAGGAGACTATAGGCTCTTCTAAGGGACTTTAAAAAATGCTATGAGTTAAGGATCCTATGAGGCTAATGAACTATTTTCTTTCATATAGGTAATGCTGGAATCTAGATATAAAACAGCTTCATTTCCTAAATGAGTTGGAGGATAAAACTTCAACACGCAACAGATATCTCAGTTTTTCCCTCTAAATAAACTGATCTCATGGCAGATGTATAACCCTACTCCTAGCCTGTGAGAATCTGGGGTGTTTTATTGAGGAGACAGAAAGATGTTCTGTACGTGAGCTCTCTTAGTAGATAGTGGTCCTCACTAGTTTGCTATCATCTTGATTTTCTGAAGGTCAAAGTCTCTTAATTGTCTTGCATATGTAGCCTCATCAGCTACAGAAAGAAGACTTAGGCCTCAAATGCCTAAAGCCCTTGGAAAATACAATTTCCAACCTTCTGGAAGTTTCTCCTCTGCCTTTCATTTCACTTGAGAAGAAGCAACTTACTAAGAAAAAGGCTGGAGCAACTCCTTAGAGGCCGGCAAGAGTGCCAATCCTTCCTCCAGCTCAGGAAGACAAGACTTTGATCAACAGTTTCAGAGGCTGAGGCTGCAAAGCACAGCAGTCTGTGCCCACAAACTCTCTTGTGCTTCTGAATTCTAGTGTAACAGCGGCATGAAATTCATTACATGAAGAGGGGGTGGAAATGCTCACGGAGTATTTCAGAGGCCATAGGCTATGGAGGTGGTTGTTCCATAGACATCAGAAACAACGACCGAGCTGAGCCTGTGGAAACCATGGCCTTATTCTTGGAATGGGAGGCGAGGGTCACACACTGCCACCTGCTTTCAACAGCAACTGTGCACTGGAGTAAAGGAGGTGCATGTGCGTCCAGTTTCACAGCTTGGGTGGCATCAGGTAGGTCTCTCTTGACTAGGTATGACTATATAAAGTGCATTGTGTCAATTTGATCACATCTCAGCCGATGGAGAAGTTGAAGGCCATACTTCTCTAACTTTTTTTCCAAGACAGTGTTACTTCTGCCTAGTCAAACACCAGGAAAATGGGATTGTGACCACACAGGAGCCCAATTTTATATTTAGAGATTGTTGACCCAAGCCAGGAACACTCAGGAGCAGTCTTAGATTTGGGGATTTGAAGAATTTAATTCTTTTCTTTAGGACATGTGATTCTCTTACTAGTAAGAAAAGAACGCTTGGCATTTTCTCATAAATCTAGACATTGGTGGGAAACATTGATCCAAACTGCATTTGTTCTTGATGCAGATATTTCCATGAAAGATGTTTGGACTTATGAAAGCTCAGATGTCGGCCAGGTGTGTTGGCTCACGCCTGTAATCCCAGCACTTTGGGAGGCCGAGGCGGGCGGATCACGAGGTCAGGAGATCAAGACCATCCTGGCTAACACGGTGAAACCCTGTCTCTACCGAAAATACAAAAAATTAGCCGGGCGTGGTGGCGGGTGCCTGTAGTCCCAGCTACTTGGGAGGCTGAGGCAGGAGAATGGCATGAACCCGGGAGGTGGAGCTTGCAGTGAGCCGAAATTGCACTACTGCACTCCAGCCCGGGAGATAGAGACTCTGTTTAAAAAAAAACAAAAAAAACAGAAAGAAAGCTCAGATGTCTCAAGAAAGCCAGAGAAGGCTGTGTGCGGTAGGGAAGGTCTCTGCGTGTGAGTGGACCCACTCTCTCCCTGTCCCCAGGCTCTCTGGCATTTTCCTTTGAGGACAGTGTCCCGCAATGCCTAATTAGATGCTGTCTGCTGACTTCGGTATCCCATTGCTGTGTTCCTAGTTTGTCTTCCAAGGATTGGGTGTACCATGTTAAGACAAAACATTGCAATGTTAAAACACAACACCGTTGTGAAGATCATCTTTGTTTTCAGAATATATTTTAAGAGTTAGTGGAATAGAGAATGGCTTGTTTGTTATCAGTAAAGCTCTTCCTTCACCCAGAAACCACAAGAGCCTGACAGTCAAGTCGTTCCCACAGGTGCGTGTGGTCCCTATCAGGGATGTGTTGGGCTGCCAGCCTCCCTGCCAGGCCCTTCGTGGTGGTGTGCTGAGTTACCGTAGCATGCCCCCACGGGATCAGACAACAGTTGCGGACTGCTACGATGACGTCACCTGGAGATGGCAGACCTGAGCGTGATGTGTGATCCTGCTCTCTGACACCGGAACTTGTCGTGTCAGAGCAAACGGACCTTTAGTTCTGTACCAGCTATAGTCAGGCGGCCAGGAATTTCCTTTTGAGCCCCAGGTCAACTTGGATGGCATGAAGTAGAAGTCTAAATGACACCCAGATTTTACTATTGCCCAAAGAACAGCTTTCCGACCTGGCCCTCATCAGCCTGCTCCCCAGGGGAGGAAGCCTGGTCCCAGCAGGTCTTATTCGCTCTTCACCACCTTCCCTGAATCTGGTATTCCCAGGTAGAACGACCTGCTCCTAACTGAGGGGGAGGCTGGCCAGCACTGATTGCATGCTGTGTACTTTAAGCTTGTGATGGAATATTTAAGGGCCAGACACGCCTTCCTCAGATAGAGCGCCATGGTCTCGAGTTAACATTTCTGACACTCAAACCTGAACGGCTCTTAGAGGTCAATCACTGTTTCTTGGAGGTGATGGGAAATCCCGTAACGTGGAGATCATTGTGGGACATGGGGGAGTTTAGAGTCTTATTTGTGCTAACATGACACAACCAAGATAAGACGGAGTGTACGTGGGTGAGATGGCATCAGGCAGAAAGCTAAGGTGCGGGTGACCCGTGAGTAAATTCTATTGTTTCTTGTTGGTAAGGATTTATGTTGTATCAGAAAGTGGTAAGACCACATGAATTTCATATCATCCTTAAGAAATATATATATGTACATACATTGTATACATGTTAATATCTATATATTTGCGTATATGTATATGTGTGTATATGTAGCATATTTTTAAGAAGCGCAAAGAGCTGAGTCTAGGGGAGTGCCTGTGAACTGAATTGTGGTAAGTTACTGAGGTATTCTTCAGCAGTGAATACAGTTTTTCACATGATTTTATTATGTCTTTTTTTTTTTTTTTTTTTTTTTTTTTGAGACGGTGTCTCGCTCTGTCGCCCAGGCTGGAGTGCAGTGGCCGGATCTCAGCTCACTGCAAGCTCCGCCTCCCGGGTTCACACCATTCTCCTGCCTCAGCCTCCCGAGTACCTGGGACTACAGGCGCCCGCCACCTCGCCCGGCTAGTTTTTTGTATTTTTTAGTAGAGACGGGGTTTCACTGTGTTAGCCAGGATGGTCTCGATCTCCTGACCTCGTGATCCACCCGTCTCGGCCTCCCAAAGTGCTGGGATTACAGGCTTGAGCCACCGCGCCTGGCCTATTATGTCTTTTAAAGATAGTATCAGTATTAAATAGATCCACAGATAAAATGTATTTGTGAGAGTATTTTGACATCTTTGTTTATTGAACTTGGTAGACATTTACATTAGTATTTTCATTTTGAATAAGTCCCCTCAGTCTGCACCACAACTTAAAATATATTCTAAATATAAAGCACTTTGGTACTCTATGCGGTCATTGTAACTTAATGCCACACCGAATGCTGCAGTATTTCATAAAGTTAATTCTTAAATACCAGGATGGCTCTGCGCCGTGATCATGGTTTCCATGTTTGCTTTTGTTCCATCCGGCTTTCGGTTACTCCCGTTTCCCCTCTTCAGTCTCTGTGAACGGTAACACTTGGTGCTGGATAGCACCATCCGCGATACTCCAAAGGAGTGGGCAGACATGCACTCCTGCGCCCTCCTAATGTCCCTGCGAAGAAGCGCACTGGCCCGAAACCGCCAGCACAGAGCCACATTAGCGGCAGGAAAGACACTGAGTGCGTCAGTGTGTGCGACAATAGGATGGCTTCACACAAAGACTTGGCTGCATGCCAAATCAGGGTCTGATGGAGCAAGCCCCCAGGGCAGACCATGCCCACTGCACTCTCTGAGCAGCTAAAGTTCTGTCGCTGCAGGTCCATCTTAGAAGGTGGCATGAATACTAGAGTGCAGCTTCCTCTGCCTGCCCCTAACAAGACAGTGTGAGTCAGGGGTCAGGTCCCCCAGGAAGAGGAAACTGCAATGAACGGGCACTTTCTCTATCATGTGTGTGGCGTGTGCCACTCTGCAGCCACCCCTGTGTCACTGCTCCTGTGTAACGGGATTGATGTTCTATTTTCCCAGTGATCCTGTCTACTGAGAGGGCTGGGAAGCCACATGCCTCCTACAACAACCAGAAGCCAACAAGCAAGCCTCCTCTCTCCACAAGGTAAGACAAATGATGTAAAAATAGGTTAAATTACTTCGAAACTTTAATTACAGATATTTTTCCACGCAACATTTCTGAAATGAAAGCTTTGATTCTCCCCTTTTTTTGCATAAAGGCTACGAAGGTGGTTTAGCCAGACCGTACACCTTTTTGTATATACATATCTACACCTGTGTCTCTTCTTTATTAATAAAAGGTGTCTTGATCACAGTCCCAAACCAACTCTGCATTGGATTCCAGCATATAAAACTCAGAGAGTGAAACAATTTCAAAGGAAGACAGACTGCAACCACAGGAAAATGGCAGGAAAAACTGTAGCTTGATAGTTGTTTCTTCTAAGTTTAACTCAGAAATATAATAATAATTAAGAGAAAAAAATAAGAGGGCCTTAGCTTTCATCCCTGCTACCAAACACGCTCGTCCAAAACTCTCGGCTGTCTTAAAGTGCAATTACTGTTGTGAAGTTGCTCAGGGCAGGGATCAGGCTGGACGGAGTTCAAAGCAGAAACTTCAAACGCTCTCTGCTGTCCATGACTCAGGGGCGGGGAGGGAGGGAGAGGAGAAAAAGAAGGACAGTTCTCTGGCATTCGAGTGCATCAAAAGAATCAATGTCTTTTCTTTCGGTAAAGAAAATCTGTCAATAGTAAGGAATCCTGGTTTGGAAAAATACAACTTTCTAAAACTTCTATCTGCGGATGTTCCAATGCAGCAGAGTGACAAGGCAGGCGAGTGCAGCCAGCAGCAGGGGCCAGGGGTGCCTCGCAGGGGCCCGGCCATACAGGCGGCTTCCACTGTCTTCTGCGAGGTCCTCTGCCCTCGGCGAAGAGGAGGCACACTGGACCAAGGGCATCTGGTAGGACGTGGCTCTCTTCTCTGGCCTGTCTGGACTCGACCCGTCGCTGGGCCTCTGGCCATTGAACAGCAGATAGCGCCCCCGGGCATCCTGTTCCATTTTGAAGATCTCGTACTCCGTGTGAGGTAGTTTGATGCCCAGGGCCACGCAGCCATTGGTGTGGGTCACATCCTGCTGGATGCCTACCTGCCAGGAGCCCTCGGCCCCACACTCATTCCCGTTGAAGACGTTGAGCAGTGAGGCTGTGGCTGCATCCATGGGGGTGACCTTCATGTGATTCACTGCAAAGGAGAGAGGAGAGTTCCATGACTCCAGGGAGTAGGCCTGGGATCCGGAAAACCACCCAGAAAACACTGGCCACACTCTAACGAGACAACGCTTCTTTTCCAAAAACAGTCCCACCTACAGACCCACCCGTCTGACTGCAGCAGCCGTCAAAGCACTGTCAGGCGGGGAAGAGTTCAACCTGTTGATCTGGGTGGCAGTAACACCGATAGGCTGCAGGTGTGGCCACGCGACACAGACCATCTGGTGTAGAAACACTGAGCCCGGAATACAGCTGGGAGCGCCTGCAGGCAAGAAATACAACTACAGCTCGGAGTGCTCCTAAGGAGTTTTATTTGGTGATGCTGACTCCTTGGGATTGAAAAAAATACTCAACAAAGGCTGGAATTTTGCTGTTATCAAAAGGTTTTCGGGTTTCTAACAGTTTTGGTGTCAAACACCTATTCTAGTTGGCATTCTCACACATTCCCACGGGCCCATACATCAGGCATCTAAAATAAGTTAGGCTGCAAGCAAGACAAATGTGAGTAAATAAATTAAATACAAATCCCAGCTTTGGTGGAGAATTGCTTCTGAAGGTCCCTCCAGGGGGCCACTTCCGTGTATAACGCGATGAGCTTCGGGGTGGAGTCACGTAAAGATCGCTTGCTCTCAATTAAGTTTCTCAAAGGGCCTGTATTCCTGGAGCAAACCTGGCTACCCAAAAGGAGAGCTAAAGTCTTCCAGGACTTTCTGGGTTAATAGAAACATTTTATAGCAATGGGACTGAACCCTGGAATGCCATCCTGGAGGAGTCACCTGGGATCGAGGCTGTCCCTCTTTATTTGGCATGATATGGCCGACACCATTTTACAAAGATGCTCAAACTTAAAAAAAAAAAAAAAAGCAACCTTCTAAAAATAGCAACCACAAGTCCCGCTTTGTTGCTGGCAGCCTGGTGTAGCTCCTCCCTCCCCTCCTCATTTAGTGATAAGGACACAGCCTGAACCTTCCCACAGATGCTCCCACCTCCAAGCAGGTGACAACCTCTCCGTTACACGACAAGCTCAGGGTTGGAAAGGGCAGCTCTGAGCACCCGAGGTGTCACTAATACCTCTTTCCTGCCCGCTCGAGAAAGCACCGTGGCACGCAAGCAAATGCAGCGTTATTGAGGGGAATAACACTGGAATCCGCCAGAGTTGTGTACAAAAAACACAAAGTGCAGACTTGAGATTGCTTTTTTTGTTTTTTACAGACGGGGTCTTGCTCTGTTGCCCAGGCTGGAGTACAGTGGCACGATCATGTCTCACTGCAGCCTCAACTTCCCGGGCTCATGCGATCCTCCTAGCTCAGCCTCCAGAATAGCTGGGACTACAGGCACATGCCACCACATCCTGCTAATTTATTTTATTTTTTATAGAGTTAGGGCCTCACTCTGTTGCCCAGGCTGGTTTCAAACTGCTGGCCTCATGAGATCCTCCTGCCTTGGTTTCCTAAAGCGTTGGGATTACAGGCATGAGCCTCCGCACCTGGCCAGAGATTTCATTCCCAGTAACATCCTCCCTGGACTGGCAACTTCCCACATGCAGCGGAGTGGACGCCTCCCGCACTCAGGCCTGCAAGCAGAGGCTGTCCACCTGATCCACTTTGAGCAGGGAGAAACTCAGAGGGTGCTGGGAGGGACTGAAGCAGAAATGGCTCCCCGATTTCTTTCCTAGGAACTCAGGCAGAAAAGAGGTCCCTTCCCTCAGCTCTGCCTCCACAAAAACGTCACAGGGCCGTGTATCGGCTGTGATACTGGGACTCGAGATGGGAATCCTACCTTTGAACACGAACTCCGTGCCTCCCATGACCCTGGAGGAGAGCACGCCGCGGCTGTAGCGGCCCCGGGCATAGATGGAGAAGGTGGGGTGCTTGCACACCGGGTCTGAGTAGTGGTAGTAGTGGCCCTCCCAGGTGTTGTTGTTGTCATGGAAGATGAAGTGGCGGGTGAGGAAGAGGACTTCGGGGCGCACCTCGCAGCGCTGGCTCACCCACTCCCCGTGCAGGCCGATGGTCAGGTCTGCCTTCGGGGGCAGGATGGGAGGGTGGTGCTCGTCTGACCGATAGATGATCCGACAGGCGATGCAGGCGTGGTCATGGTTCTGAAGCCAAGAAACAAACACACTCAGAGACCTCTGTCTTCCCAAGGGAGCAGTGCACATGTGCTTCTGGCAAATGGGGTCTCACCAGGTACCAGGTCACCATCACTGACAACCTCGACACCAAGAACCAACTGGAATCATGCTCCGGGCACAGACAGAGGTGAGAGTGATGTGTGCCTGTGTACTCAAAGTGCACACGTGTTTGCCTGACAGTACAGACCTACGCAGGCATTTCAGATGTGATGTGGCCTCTTTAGAATCCTATTAAGTTTTCAGACCCCATGCACTGGACACTTGATTTCAAAAAGAAATGATGGCAGCACCTCACACCCATTAGGATGGCTACTATCAAAAAATGCTATCAAAAAAATCACAAGTTGGCAAGGATGTGAAGAAATTGGAACCCTTACACACAGCTGATGAGAATGCAGAACGGTCCAGCCACTATGGAAATCAGTAAGGTGGTTCCTCAAACAAACAAACAACAAAAATGAAACAGAATTATATGACCCAGCAATCTCACTTCTGGGTATGCACCCAAAAGAGTTGAAAGCAGGGATGTGAATAGCTATTTGCACACCTATGTTCACATCAGGGTTATTTACAATAACCAAAAGGTAGAAGCACCCCACGTGTTCACTGACAGATGAATGGATCAACAAAATGCGGTCTATCCATACAATGAAATACCCTTCAGCCTTAGAAAGGCAGGAAGTTCTGACACCTGCTACAATAGGGATGAACCTTGGGGACATCGTGGTCAGCGAAATAAGCCAGACACAAAAGGAGACTGTATGATGTCACTTATATGAGGTTCCCAGAGTGATCAAATTCATAGAGACAGAAAGTGGAACGGTGGTAGCAGGGGCTGGAAGTGGGGGGGCAAGTTGTGGTTTAATGAATAGAGGTTCAGTCTGGGAAGATGAAAAAGTGCTGGAGATGGAAGGTGGTGATGGTTGCATAATAACGTGAATGCCCTCAGTGCCACAGAACCGCACACTTAAAACTGGCTAAATGATACGTTTTACATTATGTGTATTTTACCACAATTAAAATTTATTTTAATAAAAAAAGTTAGGAGACACAAAGAAAAAAAAAAAGGCCAGCACTCCACCAGCTGTGGATGAATGGAGTTGTGTAGGAAAGGCAAGGTCCTTTAGAAGAGGGAATGGAGGAGGCGGCCTGCAAGAAGGGAGAGCTGGAGGCCGCGGGGCAGCAAGCACACCCACACATTGCTCTCTCTCCGGGTCTGCCCGCCTCCGGGTTCAGAAGGTTTCCGTGTTCCTCCTCCTGCTTTCTCAGCTTAAAGCAAGACAGCCACAGCTCTGACCTTCCAGAAGACCCTGTAATGCCTAGTCTATTTTATCACAGGAACACAGCAGGGAACAAGGGCTGTTCGTGGCACAGACAGTCCTCTCTGGTGAGGGGTGCACACGTCAGAGATGCTGGAAGTCAGGGCACAGGGTGCTTGAACACAGTGCCAGTGCCTCGCTGTCTCACCAAGGTCTCCAGACACCTCTGAGCCCGGGCTGCCTCCTGCACCTGGATCATCCCTCCGCTATTCTCCTCCCACCCAGGGGGTGCAAAGCTGGCAGGCTAGCAGAGCGCTGACCACTAGCAGCACGTGCCAAGCGGATCAGGCTGTGGTGGGGAGATAGAAGTGGGTAGCTCAGTGTTCTGGGGACGGCTGGGCCACCCCAGCCCCATGCTCCCATGCTATCAGTTCATGGCCTCACATCTGCCCTGCGGCCAAGGCTGAGGGCTGCCCACTGACTGCGCAGGCACACACTTATTCTCTAGCAGTTCTTTAAAGTTGGAGACCTCAATCACCAGGGTCTTTGGGTTTACAGCCCTCACTCAACATGTGATTTCCTTGTGGCGGCTGTTTGGTCTCTCCGAGAGGGCAGGAGGAACGCTCTCCCCGGAGAACAGCTGTGCTCGCTAACTTGCGCTGCTGCTATGTGCGTTAAACGGGCATGGAGTTGCACTTCACGTGAGAGAATGTTTCCTTTGCTAACGTGGTTTGTGGCTTGTAGACGATTGGATCAAATAGCTCCAGCATTGAGATGAAGGCCAAGTCCTGGGCGTCCCCAGGCTCTACGTGCATTTGTTGGCCTGCGGTTTCCTACAGAGGGCTTTGGGGCACACGGAGAAACTGCCTGCAACCTGTGCTCAGCAGCGAGCTGCCCTCTGCAAGCTACAGGAGAAACAGAAAGAATCCCTGCATGAGGCCCATTAGCCCAGTGATTAATTACGTGACGGAAAGATGGCTCCGCCCAGTTCCTAGGGGCCGAGGCCGGAAAGATGGCTCCGCCCAGTTCCTAGGGGCCGAGGCCAGCCCCGGCCGCTTCACAGTTGGTGATTTTGGGCAAGTTATTTATTTCTCTCCATTTCAACTTCCTCATTTATACAATGGTGATCATGACACTTACTTGCATAACTGCTGCAAGAAATGAACAGCAGATTAAGGTGGTTCCCACTCAGCGTACCCACTTGGTGTGAACATTACATAAAGGCCTATCTGCCACCCTACGTGCCACTGTCTTTCAAATGCACCTGAAGGTGAAGAAAATACAAACTGAGTTAAAAGAAAGCATCACTGAGTACGGTAGGTTAGGCTTTATGTTTCCTTAGTCAACTACTATGGGGTAAAGGTTCTAGATTTGTCACCTAAACAAGGGTTCTGATATTCAAAACCCAGGATGGAAAGTTAATATGACACAGTGTGCCCAGCCCAGGGCTCCTGCATAAGTGCTGGAACTGTCACCATTGAAATCAGGCCTGCGGTCCTGGTGTGGGGACCAGTGACACGCCCTCTGACATTGGCTCGGAGCTTGGATTCAAATCACGAAAGCTTCACAGACAGGAAGGTCGTGTTTTCCTGTGATGCCTGTTGTCAGAGACACAGGCTGTGCGGAAGCCGGACCCTGGCCCAGCACCACCTACAGCTGAGCCCAGCACATGCTGAAATAAGAGAGGCCACTTGGAGCACTCGTTCCATCAGGGTAAGAAGCATGGGGTCAGATCTTCCCCAATCAGCCGGGAGAAGCTGTGCACTCCTACCATTTGCAGCTCATCGCTGGTAGCGGCTATCCCCTCCGCCTGGGCAGGTCCCCAAAGCCTAGCTGGCAGCCCCGCTTCCCTACACCACCCCCAACCTCCACCTCCCCTCTGTGCCATTCCCACTTCGTTTGCCATCTGTAATTTGGGAATTTAAAAACATCAGTTGTCGACTCCTTCATTTCTGGTCACTCTAAGGAGGTGAGTCTCAATTCCTGAAAAGATTTAATTCCTCAAATACCAGGATTAGTTCAGGAGGAGCTCAGAGAGCGTCTAAGTTGGGGGTGGGAGAGAGAAAGGAAATAAGGGATGTTAGTTCTTGCAAGAGATGCTTCTGGGACGATGTCGAGGAGCAACGGCCCTTTGGCTCAGACAAGGAAAAGGCTCGGGGGACGGGAGAGGGCCCTGCTGTTGCCCCGGCTGTTCGAGAATGGGTGTTTTCAGGGCTGCTTTCCTTTAGGAATAATGAGGCCGGGGTCCTGAGCTCCAAGACGAGGGCCCCGTGGGACTTGGTCACCAGGAAAATGACGGTCCTGGGCTGAAGTGTTGCTGTTCCACAGCAGAGAAAAGCAGGCCAGGCAGGGTTTTGTTTGTTTGTTTTGTGGGGGGCACAGGCTCAGGGAGGCTTGTTTTCCACAGGTGGGCCTGAGAATTTAGGGAGGGTTCAGGGAGTGGGAGAAACCTGGTTCTTGGGTATGGTCTTGCCAAATCCCTAAACTAGATGCTTGTGTGTGTGTGTGTGTGTGTGTGTGTGTGTGTGTGTGTGTGTGAAAAATACCTAACATAGAATTTGCCATCTTAGCCATTTTAAATTATATTCACACTGTTGTGCGGCTACCCCTGGAACCTTTTCATCTTTCCCAGCCGAAAATCTGCACCCAGTAAACACTAACGCCCCATTCTCCCTCCTGGCCCTGGAAACCCCCATTCTCCTTTCTGTCTATGGATTTGACTCTTAGAGGGGCCTCATCTGAGGGGAACTATCACTATTTGTCTTTTTGTATCTGGCCTATTTCACTTAGTATAAGCTCCTCAAGTTTTATCAATGTAAAATGTGTCAGAATTTCCATCCTTTTGAGGCTGATATTCCTTGTATGAATATTCCACATTTTGTTGATTTATTCATGTCGATGGACATTTAGGTTGCTTCCATCTCTCGGCTACTGTGATTGATGCTGCCAGGACCAAAGGTGTCTTTATGTTTGTTCAAGTCCTTGCTTTTAATTCTTTTGGGTATGTACCCAGAAGGAGAACAGCTGGATCAATTTGGTAATTCTATGTTTAATTTTTGGGGGGAACCACCGTACCATTTTCTGGAGTGGATGAATCATTTTACATCTCCATCAGTAATGTATAAAGTTCCATTTTCTCCACATCCTTCCCAATGCTGAATATTTTCTGGTTTTGATTGTTTTGTATTTTGTAATAGCCATCCCAATGGGTAAGTTGATATCTCATTGTGGTTTTAATTTATATTTTCCGTTGCCAATTTAAAATTTTTTTTTTATTTTTTGGTTGTTGTCTAGTTACCCTTTTTTTTTTTTTCTTTTTTTGAGACACGGTCTCACTCTGTTGGAGGTGGGAGAGAGAAAGCCTGGGGATTGCCCAAGCTGGAGTGCAGTGATGTGATCTCGGATCACTGCAACCTTCACCTCCCAGGCTCAAGCAATCCTCCCACCTCAGGCTCCTGAGTAGCTGGGTCTACAGGTGTGCACCACCATGACTGGATAATTTTTGTTTTTTTGTACTTTTTGTAGAGACGCGGTTCCACCAATGTTGCCCAGGCTGGTCTCAAACTCCTGAGCTCAGGGTAATCTGTCTGCCTCAGCGTCCCCAAGTGCTGGGACAACTCTTTAGGTGCCATGAAGAAACCAAAGTTATCATAACAAGTGGAGTTGTTTCTGGCCTTTGTGGACACTGTCAACAAGGGGGCAGTTTTA